ATGACGGCGAGGAGGAGAAGGAGCAGGCGGATGAGAAGCAGGACACGGAGAAGAAGAAGGAGAAAAAAGCCAAAGAGAAACGTTGTGATAAGCAAAAGACCAAGCGGAACAAGGAGAGAAACAGCAGATTCAGACAAAGGCATAACAACGAGGACGGCGACGAGAACCCACCGCTGCGGAAGCCTTGTTGCTTCTGCTGGTGCTGCTGCTGTAGTTGCTCATGGTGAGTGTCTTCTGCTCTCGTAAATTCTTCTGACACTTTAGTTGGATACGTGATTGCGCACAAATATCATACAAACGTAATGTTCAGGAAGCAAACAAAAGTGTTGGCGGTCATTCATATAAGTGATAAGACAAAACCCCTTAAAACAAATTTTAACAAGACACGTTCGTACCTCTTTCAAAATATAAGTATTCTCTGACATCATCTTTTTCGCCCTTGTCGGTTGAGTCAACACAAACACACATACACAATTGCAACGTAATGCATTTTTTTCTGACACTACAACCATGAAGACGCATAAACGCTTCTCTGCTGCTCCCCGTCTTGTCCCGCCTGATGCGTCGCTACTGCAATCATCTGTTTAGGAGGGAAAGGGTGATAACAAGGGCTTCAGGGAGACGCGCATGGGAATAGCGTTGAGGGAGCCGCGCGACGCGTGGGCTGGGCTGGGCCGGCTCATGAGCATACAGCTCATATGTTGGGGTGCTTTCAGCTGGAGGAGGCACTCGGAATAGAAGGTGCTGGGTGCGCCCGAAACACGAACGTGATACAGTGACAGCCCGCGTCCGAGCAGTAAAATCTCTAATGCCCCTGCTGAAACCCGTCGAACCATCCTCTATGATGATGGTGGGATTAGAAATCTAACATCGATCTTTCTTTTGGCAGGTTTGCTAACTTCCTTTCAAATTGTGCCAGCTGCCTCTGCTTCAGGTAAGAGATCCAAGCCCGTGAGCATAAACGGTATGGAAGAAAGAGGGAGGGCGATGCCGATATAATTTTTGAAAAGTGACTAGAAATAATTTTTATAGCAAAAGCTTGGGCAGGTGGCTGCTGGCTATCCTAATCTATCAGGTTCCCACAGTAAAAAGATTTGAATAGTTAAAAATTTTACTATGTCGGGATGGCAATCTGAAAATAATGGGGGAAAACGGCTGAAGTAAAATCCAACTTACAAAGAGTGCCTTGACTCTCGGTAACACTCATAACTTGTTACAGGCGGTTCTTGAGACTACTATCGGACAGAAATTGGTATGTACCGCCTTTATACCGTCTTCATAATTTAACCATGATTTGGGCCCGGATATATCCGTCGAGTGCAAGGCAAGCCTTGGGTCCACTTGCAGTGTCAACTTATTCGCTGTAAACATGAAGGTTTCGCGTTCAGAGTGGCACGGCCGTGCATCCCTTTACCCGCCCCGGTCCGTCGCAACCTCTTCTTTGTTCTCCTCTCTCTCTCTCTCTCCTTTTCGCCCTATCCTCTGCAACCACTTGAAACCCTTTTTTCTTTTAATTCCATTTTGTTAAAACCGTGTATAGCTCGGCTCCTCGCCACTCCCCACTGATCCCCAACCTCCCGCTTCGCCTTGAAAGGCTCCCATTGAAAGGCCTTCGCGCGGCCTCGGTCCTGCCTGCACCGAGGAGTGGCTCCAGCGCTCCGGGCCCATGTCACTCCCAATAAAAAATTCTATTTTCCGTTAAGGGTGGACGTATCCCTTCCCGCCCGTCCCCGGGCTGCCACGGCCATGAATTGCTGTCGGGGCTGGGGTTGGGGTGGAAGAGGGGTTGGGCTGCCGATAGGCATTGCCAGGCCAGATGGGGCATGCAGGTCTGTTGCACCTGTTGGAGCAGAACACAGTCCGGCGGGGCAGCAGGCGGGCGAGCGGCGGTTGCAACCCGATACACATGGACAAAGCGACGGGCCGCGGAGGGGAAAGGAGAAAGAGTATTGTGCGTTGGGCCACTGATAACATTGTGCTGGTGTCACAAACATTGTTGCACTGCCAAAACAATGATCCACGTCGGCATAACGGTTGTGCGCGACTGTCGCGAATATTTACTACCACACTTATATGAACATGTTTTTTGTCTAATGATCAGTAGTTCTACCTCTACTGTCGCTGCGCACTCTGAAATATTCTTTTTAGAATAATATTAACTGTTTGTAGAACAACAACTTCCATCCAAAATAACAAGGATTTTGCTTGTTACATGAGCGCACCTGCTGACTATGGGTGTAGATAAAAGAGTGAACCTAAAGTTCCTGTTGAAAAAAAACTACTCACTGACTGAAGCCAAATAAGGACCTGCTCTCCACTTCACAAAACTGATTTAGTCACACTATGGTGGCTTCTTTAGCCCGCACCTTCAATTAACCGTGTGCCACGTAGCTGTATGCTAAACCTTTTTACATCCAGTTAATTTATTTGCATCGGTCTAAAATTATCCAGTTAAACTGATTGGCACGTTTATTGTGTTAATGTGTGCCTATTTTTATTTTTGAAATCTGTTCTGTAGCGAGAAGTTTAAAGGTTTTTATGACGTGATTGCAATAATTGTGAGTGAAATCATGCCCGTCAAAACCTGTCAAACATCGGTACCGTGTGCCAGGCTATGACACAGGTTTGCCTCCTCGCCCCATCCGTCAGGCGCCCTGGTGCCTACGGTAGTCAAACCCACAACATTACTTCTTGTGTCGTGGCCCCGACACACGGTATCTGCAGAAAAGAAAATGGACAAGGTTTTAACATGTAGTACAGCTACAGCCGTTGGGGATCAGCACTTTTCGTTTTATTGCTGCCACTCGGGCCCAGATACAGCAGCGCTTTGCAAACGGATAACGAAACAGTGCTTCGAACCCAATCACCAGCCCAGCTCCACCCAGCTGCCGGGGCCGCTGCTGCTCCCCCCCCC